GTCAATACAAGCACGTTTGGTCTTATATATGTAATTTCGAACCATATTAAAGGATTATTTTTAAAGACAAACTCAAAAACATTTTATGGAAATAATATTGCACTATCTGTATATGACCGAATGTGCCCCACTTTAAAATGCCGAATGTACTCCGAAGGCAGTTTTTATAGTTTTTTTTTTATTTTTTGTCTATCAATCTTCTAAAAACATTATACTTTTAATTAAGTTTATAATAATGCACATTGTAATCAACTACTGTTTAATAATACTGCCTTAAAAATTTAAATTTTATTTAAATTTATACACGAAATACTTACGAAGTGGAATGGAAATTTTACTAAAACATCTGTAAAAATATAAAAAACCGTCCATCTAAATAAGTTTATTAGCTAGAGATTTCAAACTTTGGGACTGCGATTGCCGAATGTGCCCCAGTCTCCCCTACGTCTAATGCAATTTAGCATATGTCTTACATTCGCCCTTAATTTATCGAAAAGGAGAATTCAAATTATCGTTCAATAATTCTTTTCGTCTTTCAACTGTTTGGGCTGTTTGTCTGATAGATACTCGCATTACATTTGTTCCATTGGATGCCTCGCATTGCATTGTTACCTTGCTTCGTTGGTTCCAAATGGATGGCATATGAATTGTTGTTGTCGTTGTGCTTTTGCAACAACAGCAACGTGATCTTATTATTATAGTCATCATAGGGCCGTATGCAGTGAGCAAAAAGCGACTGTAGTGTTTGTTTTTATGTGAGAACGTCTTCGATGAAAGTTGTCTCATTACATTTGAGTCGGGAGTCTTCCGATGCTGTGTGTAAAAGAGATGAGCGTCATCGTCGCAAACTTGGTTAATGAAAGCGAGCGTTTAAAGCGTACATAAAACTTCCGGTCAATTAAATGTTGAAAAAAAAAGAAAGGGCCAACATGTTCATTTTGCAGAAATGCAAATTTATCAAAGGCATTAGGCGCTCAGACAGAATTGCCGAACACAATTATGGGTTGGGGCGGAGTGTGTTGCCCATGGTCGTTGGTTTAGCTAAGTCATTGAAATTTATAGCTAGTCTCAGATTGGAATGTCGGCCTGCTAGTATCTACCAAGACTGGATTATTCATTTTGCGAGCAGTGAGGGTGCTGTCGGCACCAGATGATTGTGTGGTGTCTTTGTTGTAGTTTTGCATAATACCGTTACAAGTTTAGAAAGGTAGTCACTTGTCAGACACCCGCCAGGTTATCACGCGGACAATAGTACAATAACAAAAAATCCATGACTTTTAGTAGCATTGTTGTGGTGGGGCTATCAAATGTACACATAACATATTACCAGCCACAGTCGTAGGAATCAGGTCTCAGAAATTTTCGATCAAGACAGAAATAAAATATATTTTTCGGAATACCTACAATTTGTTGCATATTGTTGGAAACGTTGTAATTTGAATGAAATTATAATTATTAGGTGTATAATTATTACTAATCCAAAAATATTTCGAGACGTGACAGACGTATTGTCAATGTTAATATGCCCACTACGTTATGGATTAAGATTAAAGAAAAAAACTTTAATTGGTAATTTGCGCAGATATTACACTGTGGTGGTTTTTATACATACGCCAATAAAATTATGGATGTTTTTTTTTTCAAATTTGTACACATTTTTTGGTATTTTGACAGCCTTTTTAATTGTAATTTTATGCTAATTTGTGAATTTTGTTTCAAACGTTAGACTCCTTTTGTTTGGCGTCTTCAAGTTTGTTAACGCCTTGTGATGCAATTGCATTCCCATGCCGTTATAAGCGACTAAACATCATTTTGTGGAATATGTGTTGTGATGAGGTTCAGTGCTTTCTGAATATAAGATTTCAACTGATTGTCGTCAGTGATTGTGTAGAAGAATAAGACGCTATGATTTTCTCTGTAGAATGGGACGCCCCAACGCAACTGTAATAATCTGAGAAAACAAAACAAAAATATATATTAATTACACAGCACAAACAATGTGCTCGAGGTGGCATATGGTATGTGTGTACTTCTAAAACTGAAGTCCGCAACATATTTGCTTACTGTGTGACAAACAAATAGAAATAGGACGAAAATAATTTAAAATAGCTACTCAATTAAGAAATAAATAAACCATATATACAAATTTAAAGGATACATTGGCTTCAAGTTTTCATTTGATGGTAAAAAATTAACTGACATTCGAATAGAATTTTCTATTCAAGAATTGGTCGTTTCAATTTTGTGTTGTATTAATACTTCATTATAGCCGCCATGGGAACATTGTACCTTTAAACATTTAGTTGATATCTAATGGCCAACATTTCTTTTCAAATAATAATAATAATAAGGGCAACGGAAACAACAACTATTGTAAATTCGATTTGAATTATTTTTGCAAAAACTAACTGGATATGCCACCTTAGCTAGGTTTATGTCAAATACAGAATTAACTTCAAAAAACCAAAAAAATTGATGAAAATCCATGGATGTTGGCATGCATTCCTAAATACTGAAACATTTTCCTAACTGCTGAATATTGGCATTTACAAATTGACGATACCACCAACACACAGATACTCTCACAATTGGAGTTTGGAATTCTCTCAGTGCCAGTAAAAGTAGTAAGTTTTGTACATATGTACAAACCCCTCCCCCACAGTCTGCCGTTGGTTGTTGTGGCTACAGTTTGAGAAATACCTTATTTTGGATCAACATTAAAGTTATCGTTACCAAAACAATGCAACCGGAATGCAAATATATGAGCAAACAATGCAGTGCAACCAGTCGAAACCACTCTCCGCTGTTATGCTCGTACAACATTTCTGAAAAGGCGAACCTTTTGTGGATACATACACACGGCCGGGGCATTTCATCTGAACACAGGTGTACACTATATACCGATAACACGAAACTAGATTTAATACAAGAGTAGCAGTGAGATATTCTCCGAGAGAACAAACAACACAAAACAGTTCAAGTATTTCAGCAAATACAATATCATCGGTGCCAGATTTTTCCCTTGATGTCAAAAGTAAATATTTGCAAGCGATAAAAAGTTATTAATCATGTCTATATATGAGTAGTTCATTTTCAAAGTGATTTAAGTACACTTTTCATATTGGAATATTTAATGGTTTGGATTGGATTTGCAATCAAAAATATTGTTAAGTGGAATTAATTATGTTTGTAGCTTTGTGTCCTAATATGTTTTGTTAATTTTTTTTTGGAAAACCAAGATTCGTATCAGAACCTAAAATGGACTTAACCACTTTCAAAATAAAGGACTAATATTTAAATGATGGTTAAATGCTTTTTTATTTTCCCAGAAATATCGCGTAGTAATCCCTACTTAAATATAGACATGGAATGCAAGAAAATTTAGTCAATGATTTAAGAACATACTAACAATTGAAGGGATGTGAAAAATTGAATAACGTTTTGCATTTAAGGGTTATTAAACAACAGCTGAAATGCACTTCTGAAAAATATATACATATATTAGTTTTTTTCTCTATATTTTTATTCATCTGCCTCCGCGCCAGATATTGGCAAAATAGAGGCTAATGACAACTATACAATTCATGATATTCTACTTCTTATTACATATAATTAATATTAAATTAAGTGTACAAAAGATTTTCAATTTTCTGCAACAGATAGGCAATATTTTTTTTAAATGGATATTTTTATAACGTTTTTCAAATCGTTTGATAACTGATTATATTCCATTAGTCCACGAAAAACTTAATTGAACGTGATGTTATATGAATTTGTCATTTTTTTACAATTTTTTTTCAACACACGTTTTTATTATCGTACATTTTGTGCTTCACAGACAGATTTTCGTTCCCCAGACAAAACATAATTTCAATATCACATCTGGCAGCACTGGTCATACTACCAGTTAAGAGTTAACTCTCAGTTACAACGGGTTGTTGGAGTTGTTGCTTGGCTCATTCACTGGCTGAGTAACAAACGTGGCAGTCGTTAGATGCTTTAGCTAGTCGTCGATGGATACCAGAGCTCCCCATTGATCATGCTGACCGTGGGGTACACTCGCCAGTCGTTGTTTGGATGTGCCACTGAACGCAACGTATTTGCTGTTCATTGCCGTGCGAGGGCTTAATTTCGAGCGTATTCGTGTGGTTCTACGTTTCTGTTTTGTTGTTGTTTGCCTAATTGGCGGTTCCCAAAAAAAAAAAAAACAAGTGTGACTCTCAACGCGTGAGATTGTGTGTGCGCGCTAGTGTGTTCTGCATTGAAACATTTAATGGCACACAAAACCGGGAGAGTAGCGATCGCAGTGACTCAGCCCACAACTGCTTTTTTAGCATTCCAAAGCACTTGCGCAGCATCTTGAGATATTTTTGTGTGTTTTACAAGAAAAGCGAAGACCAGTTCTACTTCTGTGTGCGCTTCTTTTGAATTTATACTGCGTAGCAGTGTCAAGCCGGACCAGCGATCGGGAATACCTAAAGCGATTGACGATAATACACATTCATAGAAAACATAATCGGTATCGATGCTGTCTTTCGTCTTTGTCTAGTGGCCGACTCCAAGTGTCTATTGTAAGCCATTGCCGGTCGTAATCGCCGCAGTTCTCTCGTACGTTGTGGTGTTTTTTTCAAGGCAAATCCAGTGCATTGACTCCAAGAAAATTGTTCAATTCAGGTTCTGCAGCTAGTGGTAGAGTTTCTGGCTGCAGCCGCCGTTGCAACCTGGTTGCATTGGGGAACAGGTCGTGTATTCCTCGCGCTTGATTTCGTTCGTGTTTGCAATCATTTTCACACAAAATATAGAAAAACGAACCGGTGCAAAATAGTGCAGAAAATTCTTACCGCAACCCAAAAACACTTTTTTGTTGCTGTATTTATATAAGCAAACACCTTGTCCACAACAACTGGATTTGAAGCAAAGTGGAATTTAGGCTATAATGCCATTTCGACCAGTGTGAATAATTTCCAATTTTCTTCTGTACGTTAATCAGTGGTAAAAGCATGAGCGGTGACTCAAGTAAATATTCGAACGGATCACGCACTGTGAAGCCCAGCAAGTCATTCTGTTCATTGGCGTACTTGGCTAAGAGTACGATTGCCGTCCACGGCACAAATGACATCATTGGACGAGGCACTTTAAATGGACATGCACACAAGAACGCCATCAAAGGAGGCGATAGCCGTCAGATCCAGTCTACTTCCAGCAACAGTGTACCTAATGTGGCTGTTACAGCGAAAGTGAATGATCGTGCTTCACCATCGCTGCCGACTGGCACCAACACTGGCCACCATCAACCTCACAATGCGCGTCCACAGTCCCCAACCTGCACAAACAGTATGTACAAGGATGATCGAGTTGCGGATGTCTTTGGAGTTATTAACGAGGAAGACCGAACGCCAAACGGTGGCGATCAAGTCGATAGTGTGTTACATCGACCTTGGGAACTGTCGAATGGCCCGACCAGTGCGCACCATACGTCATCCATTCAGCCAAGTGTCAGCCACCAGCATTACAATGGCGGTGCTTGTTTGCCGTCACTTTCCAAATTCAACAGTATAGATTGTTGGGATTACACGATCGAGCTGGAATGCCTAAAAGGTCCACAAGGTAATTTCTAATTCCCAAAACGCTTTTTAAAATTCCGGGCATGTCTTATCGGAAACACATTGCTGTTGCCGAAAACTTTCACGTTCACGCTCCAATCTTTTTCTCCAATTCGATTTGTTTACGACTACGATTTGCCATCAATGGATTGGTTGGTCAGCCAGAAAGCAGCGAACACTACTTCCTTCACCAAGAAGTCGTAAACATGTGTCTATTCTTGCCAAAGTCAAACAGACCACAAGCTCTTGCTAATGACTCGCCAAATTTGGAAAACGAAGTATGTGAGATGCTTAAATAGTTAAATTGTTGGTGGTCGATATTAGACGACTGCTTAACTTATAACTTCCTGCACGCGTCGAATAGGTTCTGCTCACTTCGCTTCTTGGGCCACACCGAAATGTCGAATTGTGTGGTGGTTTCGTCTGTGTCATTACTGGCATAATAGCTGCATGTTGGAGTTCATTTACCCAAAGTGCCTGAATTTCTTTGATTTTCGTTAACTTTGTTTGGCTGTACGAACAGCCAATGGTACTCTTTGACCTAGTTACTCCAACATGCCACGACGGATCGCTGCGTGAGTGTCTATTATGACTACTCGAACATTGCAGGTCAGCGTATTTCAATAAAATGATTTTATTTGAGTGAATGCTTGTCTTTGACGTCCCACACGCAGCGTTCATTATTGATGATTGTCAACAGTTTGTTGTTTTGTTGTCTGGAGTACTGTTATCATTGCTTCCAATCAAGTGTAACGAATAGGAAAACAAAAATACACATTAGAGATGAGTTACAACAAACGTTCCTAATGAACCGAAATGGTTTCATCGACTTTGGCAGACTTTGTTGCATCAACGAAAATAAAAAAAAATCACTTGCATTCGGCAAAGAAGTCTTTGAGGTTTTATTCCGATCAATTGTTACGCGAACAAAACGAATTAACAACTTGAATAGATATTTTTCTATATTTTAAATTATATAAAGAAAAAGTTTGTGAAATTTTTATTAAGACGAAAATAGGAAAAAATTTTCATAGTTTAAATCAATTTTTGAATCGGACTGAAATTGATTTGCGTCAATATTTATTTTATTTTGGGCAAATTTGCAAAAACCTGATTTAGGTTGAATCGGCGACTTTGTCATTGACAAATATAGGCAAATTTATTAATTAGTGGTTGTTAAGTGCTTCGAACAAAGTACGTCGATGTCATATTTAATAAATAGAAACTTGTACCTCGGTACCCGAGCCTGTTTGAGTTAAGCTGTTCATTATTGCCGGCAGTGAAGACAATAAACGAATTTATTTATTTGCCCGCTTCATTGGTAAAGAAATCGGTTGGAATGCCACGCCTTTACAGTTGGGACCATTATAAAATGTATAAATCAAACCCAGAGTTCGTTGTTACTTCGGCTTTTGTGCCATGCTCTTCCGAACTCGGCTATCGGTGCGATGTGTCATTGTTAACAAGCAACAAATCGCTTGCCTTCTTCTCTGTGGCAGTGGGGCTTAATATTTTATTCTCAACGCGTTTGGCCAAACAATATTTTAATTCCGCATTTTGTGAGTCATAATTCTGAATTGGTGTCATGCCAACGGAATAATTCACTAGAATGGAAACGTCCAACCGTAGTATCGTCATTTTCTGTGGATTTGAATGTGGCCAAAGAAATATTGAGAATATCACTGTGAAGTTATGAATTAATGTCTATTCGAATGGGCTGTTATTTCAGTTTTCAAATCTATAGAAAGGCGCGATGATGATAAGACATTTTGCTACCATTATTATTTTAAATTAGGAATGAAGGTCGCAATCGTTATATGACCGTTAGAAACACTTTCTCTGATTTCGTGTTTGAACTATTCCCATAAAGATAACCGTTGGCTCTATATTTGCCTTAAGTCCGCTGCCCGATGATTGATGAACTTGTGCGATAAGTTGTTATTAAAATGTTCTATCGGCGTGAATTTGCCATTTAGTAGCCCCCAGTAGACCAATAATAAAAACGAAATGAATTTTGATTAGATTTAAGTGGGTCCTAACATATCGGAGTTCTTTAAATAGCACCCATTCGATTGTTTTGTTGCCGTCTTCTATGCAAGTAGTATTTATGAATTGCTTTGACAAAAATAAAAATATATTCGAAGACAAGATTTCTTAGATATGAATTCGACGGAATCAGTCTTGGTCAACTATTTTGAATAAAAAGGATTTAAAGTCGACAAGTCTAAGATAGAGGTTATGCTACGGGAAATGATAAACTTAGTGTCTCTCCATACGATTCGAAAATAACTTGTACATGTTTAAGTTCAATTTGAGACTGCAAAACAATGTAAATGATATGTTAATATGCTCAATTTAGGAATGGATTTTGTTTGTGGCTTATGAAAACTATGTATCGGAAGTGTTTTTGGATAGAATATAGGGGCGTTGCAATGCAGATGTAAGAGTTAATAAATTACCTGAAACATTTATATCGAAAATAAATATTTTTTTTTTGCGAAAATAGAATAATACTTTATGTTTTTATGTCGATACAAATATGCCGTTGCATATTTAGCTTGACTAATATCGAACATTTTGTGAACTCGACGGACAATATTATTGCAAGATTTATAGAAAAATGATCAGACATCCAGTAAAATTATAAAGTGGCTGAAAGTGTCGACACAATGTTTTGCATCTTGAATTCGATTGCAAGATAAGACTTTTATTGTTATTATTAAGCCATTATAGTTCGAACATCGATTCCATTGTCTGATTTATTTTTATTTTGATTTGTTTCCGTTGATCGACTGACTTAATAAACGCTGGTATGGACGTTAACGAAAGCTCTTATCGCTTAGCAGTGACCTTGAATTTCAGTGCTTCGCTTTGCCAACACAAACTGAAGCAGATGAGCAACACTAGTTTCTTGGCCATGCACACTTTGCATCGCGGTGGCTGCTTCGATTAAACCGAGACACATAAACAAACATTAATTCAAGTCATCTATCTAAGCTCGCTTGCACCTTAGCTCTACTTGGCACAATCGACGCTAATGTCTTATTTTTGTTTTTGTTCGCAGCAACTGAGGAATAAAATCGTCCATTCAGCAAATCAGGCAAACGGTCATGTTATAGCCCACGGCAATACATTTTGCGATCAGCGAATGAGTGGCTGAATGAGCGAATGAGGTAGCCGGTAAGCGTTTGATAATGATGATGAGATGTTGGCGCTTCTGCCGGCGATCAATTATGTCCAATGCTTTGTTTTATTGTATGACAAACAAGCCAACCGATTTGATATGGCCCTCGTTTTGTCTGTCAGAACGATTTGGTATTTTTCAACGAATAATAGCTACTATTGATTCGGTATTAGTTTGTAATTTAGAGGGAGAAGGGCGCAATACCATAACAACATGACATTGGGAATGAACCTCATCCACACGGAAAATATACGAAGACTCACGAAGTTTATTACGCTACGTCGTTTGGAGTGAATGTTGCCTAGTGTGTGATCGTTAAATGTATTTCTGTTTGGTTTCACATAGAACGTCGTTTGCCTTTTTCTTTTCTTCGATGGAATAAAGTGTTCAGAGAAAAACTTGAACCATCGTTGAGTCTTGTTTTTCTCAACTCAAGTGTGTGTATGTGTGTGCGTTTGTTGCTGTGATTGTTGTTCCATGTCCGGCGATGTTAATGGAGTCCGTGGGAGGTCATCGACCGATCGCTCATTTGTACCGCTTGTTGTGTGATAACTTCGCATTTTCCCAATGTGTAATTTAAACTCGCTTAGATAATGAACGCACACACACACACACATACAATTATTATTTTATTCTTACTCCATGTTAATAATTGTCGATGATCAACGCCGTGGAGTTATGATGCATGAATGTATATACATGTGCATGCGTGCACGAGTATGTACAGTGATCATCTGTGAAGGTCTTGCTGCCAAAGGCAAAAATACCAACGCGGTAGTTAATCGTGGTATTCATAAAGGCAAACCCTTTATTATGTCCGTCTCTCTTGGAAAGCGAAATCTTACTTTTACATGGGTTGCAATTTTGTATATAAACTATGCTACGAAATAGGAGAAGTGCCTAGTTCTAAACCTTGCTTCAATTTATTTTGGATAGTTAACTTTAATTATGATATTGTTATTCAACTACAGTCGAAATCGATTATAACGACAAAATCCAAAAGTCCCTAATTTCTACCCTTTATTGCCCACACAAAGGAATATCGTTTGTAACGACATCGCTTATAAGGTCATATCGGTTGTAAAGACCTGGTTTTGTAAAATGTTCAAATTTTCTCATAAATTTTAACGACATAACCTATGATCAACTATATTTCTCACATAATACCGAAAACACAGCATGTGTCGTATACGACACGTAAAGATACAAATATTTAACTTATTTCATTATTTATATATCAAAACAACAAAATATATGTCTAAAAATTACTGCATACTTTGTATATATCACCTACATTTTATTAACATCGCTTATTATGACCAAATTCACCGGTCGTTGAGTGGCGTTATAAGCGATTTCGACTGTATACCGAAATGACGTTACTCTATTATATAGAGGAACAGGAACTAGATTTCGTTCTGACAAGGTTTCAGTTCCGATAAAACAGTACTGGGTAGCTACCGTCATGGTGTGATTCTGTATTTTTTTAATTAATTATCATCTGACATTCATTGCTTAGTTTCCCATTCCGAACGAACTTCATTCGTCTAATCAAGTAATAACTAATATCAGAACTGAGATTTTCTCATTTAACTGAGATTCTCATTTAACTGAGATTTTCTCATCATCTTAATGTTTTATGAATGAACAAATAAATAAATACGTTTCCTTATAGTCAGTCTGTCCCACAGATTTGGTATTAATTCATAGATACTGTCAGACAGTTGCACAAACCTTAAATGTATGCAATTAAGTGGGTATTCAAGTCATTGCATGCCGTGTCATCTAAACCTTCCAAGCAACTTGAAATAATAACAATA